AGAGAGATCAGTCACGAGTCTTATAAGTCTCCCTTTATATGTTAGAGCACATTTATCTCTAGCTGCTTTCAGAATTTTCTCTTTATCCTTGTATTTTGCCAGTTTCACTATGATATGTCGTGCAGAAGATCGATTCAAGTTACGTTTGAAGGGAGTTCTCTGTGCCTCTTGGATTTCAATGCCTTTTTCCTTCCCCCGATCCGGGAAGTTCTCAGCTATGATTTCTTCAAGTACACCTTCAGCACCTTTCCCTCTCTCTTCCTTCTCTGGAATACCAATTATGCGTATATTATTTCTCTTTAGTGCATCACTTCTCTAATTTTCTGCTCATACTCCTGGATTTTTTTATCTCTCTTTTTCTCAGCTTCTTCTCTTTCCATAATTTATCTTCTAGTTCACCTATTCTCTCCTCTGCCTCTTCAGTCCGAGCCGTAGTTGTCTCCATTTTATTTTGCAGTTCATTGATAGCATTTTTTAGCTCCTCCTGTCTGTTCCTTAGTCCCTTGTTCTCTGTAGCAATAGATTCTCTGCTGTCCTTTATACTGTTTTCAAGCCCAGCGATTAATTTTATGACTATTATTCTAAATTCAGTTTCTATTATATTGTTTAAGTCATTTTTGATCAGTTTATTAGCTGTTGTTATTTCCTGGAGATTATTTTGAGGGGAATTCTTCTGCTTGGTCATTCTGGATAGTCCCTGGAGTGGTGCGGGACTGCGGGGGCACTACCCCTGTGCTGTCTTGAATAACTGGAGTTGGTGGGCGGGGCCGCAGTCAGACCTGATGTCTGCCCCCAGCCCACTGCTGGGGCCACAGTCAGACTGGTGTGTGCCTTCTCTTCCCCTCTCTTAGGGGCGGGATTCACTGTGGGGTGGCGTGGCTCATCTGGGCTACTTGCACACTGCCAGGCTTGTGGTGCTGGGGATCTGGCGTATTAGCTGGGGTGGATCGGCAAGGTGCACAGTGGAGGGGTGGGGTAGGCTCAGCTCACTTTTCCTTTGGAGATCTGCTTTGGGAGGGGCCCTGCGGCACCGGGAGGGAGTCAGACCTGCTGGAGGGATGGATCCGGGAGGGAGTCAGACCTGCTGGAGGGATGGATCTGCAGAATCACAGCGTTGGGTGTTTGTGCACTGCAAGCAAGTTCCCTGGCAGGAACTGGTTCCCTTTGGGATTTTGGCTGGGGGATGGGCGAGGGAGATGGAGCTGGTGAACGCCTTTGTTCCCCACCAAGCTGTGCTCTGTTGTCGGGGGCTCAACAACTCTCCCTCCCGTTGTCCTCCAGCCCTCCCGTTCTCCGAGCAGAGCTGTTAGCTTACAGCCTTCCAGATGTCAAGTCCTGCTTGCTGTAGGAACACACTCAGTCCGGCCCCTCTGCTTTTGCCTGTCAGACTCGGGGGATCTGCTTGGCCAGCGGGCCGCCCCTCTGCCCTGGCTCCCTCCCGCCAGTCCGTGGAGAATGCACCACCTCGCCGCCCTTCCTACCCTCTTCCTGGGCTTCTCCTCTGCACTTGGCTCCAGAGACTCCGTTCTGCTAATCCTCTGGCGGTTTTCTGGGTTATTTAGGCAGGTATAGGTGGAATCTAAGTGATCAGCAGGACGTGTGGTGAGTCAAGCGTCCTCCTGTGCAGCCATCTCCCCAGGATTCCCCATCTTATAAATTATTAATAGACTTGGCACATGCCTGTGAGGACCAGGGTGATTACATACTGTATATATGTTATGAATTCTTATATATTTTATAACTACATGTAGATAATATGGAAGAACTTGAATATTCATTTTTTTAAATACAAAACAGGAGAAATAAAAGGAGGGACAAATGGACATGCTTGAGTGAGGTTAGATTCAAAACACAGTTCTACCATAAGAATCCTACATTTATACAGGGGTATCTATTTCATCTAATTTAAGTGAGATATATTTATATGCCTCAAGTTACGTATCATATAGATAATATAAGAAGAAAACATTGAGCTTAAGATTCAAAGCTTTCCACAATTAAAGATGCATATGGCACCAATAATATCCCAGTTAACTGGATGTCCAGTTACTTTATTTAAGATGGTTATCTTATGAAAACATTTTTTTAAGATTAGTGTGAATTGGGAATTATGTTTATGATAGAATTTATTTCTGTTGTTCTGAGTTTGACTAAACGTTGCACTAGATGTTTCCATAGCAACTTCATGGGGAACATTTAGAACACTTCCTTCCGGCAGACATTTGAGAATATATGTGGACAGTCACTGTGTGAGATTTAGTTAAGAAAATCACTCAGGGACAAAATAATATTTTAAAGCCACGTGTCATTTTGAATGTTCTTTCTGAATTACAGAAAGTTCGATCTCCACTCTGCTTCTGCTACCCCCACTCAGATGTTCTTTAGGTTTCATGCTGTCTGAAATTTTTGTCAACCTTCAAGATCTCAAAATTCAAAGTTCCATTTTCTGATGATAAACCCGTCTTAACATTTCTCATATTTCTTGACTCCTGCTGAATTTAACCATTAATGGGTCATCAGCTGTCATTCCTTGACCCTGTGCTCTTTTTACTGTCCAACATTGCTGTACTGACTTTACTTGTCTCCACCCAATGAGAAAAATGATGGTCAGGGAGTGGAGGGGCATCATTTTGTGGTACTTTGGCAAACCCCATACCTAGGACTTTTGCCATTCCTGTTAGCAAATCCTCCTTTTTGAGTCTCTTTCCCTGTTAATTTTGCCAGTTTCTGTTCGTCGATAGCTGTGATGTTGCAAAATGATACTAATTACAGCCAGTAAACAGGTGACGATGTAGTTGATGTCTAAATCAGAAACACTTTTCACTTTTTAAAGTGAAAGAGGACGGGGCGCCTGGGTGGCGCAGTCGGTTAAGCGTCCGACTTCAGCCAGGTCACGATCTCGCGTGTCCGTGAGTTCGAGCCCCGCGTCAGGCTCTGGGCTGATGGCTCGGAGCCTGGAGCCTGTTTCCGATTCTGTGTCTCCCTCTCTCTCTGCCCCTCCCCCGTTCATGCTCTCTCTCTCTGTCCCAAAAATAAATAAAAAAACGTTGAAAAAAATTAAAAAAAATAAAATAAAATAAAAAATAAAGTGAAAGAGGACACTATAAAAGTGGGATAAGCCAGCACTGTCTCGGAGAACCTGGGGTGTGCCATCCCAACAAAAGTAGATCAACTTTCTCATCTGAATAAGTCTTCAGTGAAACTTGAAATTCTCTAAAAAAAAAAAAAAAAAAAAAAAAATTAGTCAATTCCCTATTAGACATTTCCAGGGTCAGTTTAGGTTTGAGTCTCAATAAATGAATTCCTTCATCCCATCCCAAGTTTATTTCAACCAGAATTGATGACTCTGTCCTTCCATTAGAGGATTTAGGCTCGACCACCTCAAAATCTCTCTCCCTTTGTGAGACTTTAAAAAAGGGCTTTAATTCTTACTCAAAATTCTATTCCTTTCTTTACTACATCATTGGCTTTCTTTGGTGGTGGGACGTAGGGGCAGGTGGCAGAGACTGGGGCCATGATAATTTCTTGGCTTTCTTCTTATACTGATCATACCCTTATTTCATGTATGAAATAGTCCTTTCCCACCCAGAGACCTAGTCATTATCTAAGAGTTTCTCCTTGGTTTTATAGATACCTTCCCCAGAGAACACTTGCTCATCCATCATAGTAGATTCAGACATACCTTAAGCGATTGTCACTCTGCAACCCACTTTTTACAGATGTGCTAGTTGATGGATAAATATCTGAATTTTCGATGATACCTCAAAGTTAGAAAGTCCAAAGCTACAATCATGTTTGTCATTGAGCCTACAAAATTCGTTATTCCACTTTAAAAAATCACCACATTTCCTTATTTAGTCATAGTCACGAAACCTGGGATTAGTCATAAAGGTCCCTGTTTTCAGTATTTTCAGATAAAATTAGTCACCCAGTCTCATAGGCTTTTCTTCCACCATATTTTTTACACTTATTACCGAGTTGTGCCTTATTACTGATTCTCTGCCAGTTAGCCCCACATAGTGCCTCTACCAGATTAATCTTAAAGCTTAAAACTCTGATAATTCCAAGCCCTTGAGCTGTTCAAGAACTTTTATGTTTTTTCTTCTGGAGTTTGACCTAAGTACAGACTTCTTACCTTTGCATTCATGGCTTTCCTTTCTCTGGCTTCAAAACATAACTCCAGTTGTTTTCTCTTACCGTATTCTCTTACAGTATTATAAAGTACATATATGAGCCAGATTGGATGTCATGCTGTTTCTTAATATTACAGGATGTTCATTCTGTTTCTCCCTCTACGGACATCTCCTGTCGGAACTCCATATTCTTAAGGTCTTTCTCATAGTTCGTCTCTTCCATGATAAATTGTCTATTCTCTTATCAAATTTGAAATCTTTCCTTAATTCCCATGGTACTGTGTTCTTACTTTTTAAATTCCTGTTATTCTGTCTCATAAGTGTTATTTATATACTTGTTTTATCCTCCTTATAGAGTGTTGTTTTCTAAAGGAGAGAATATAAACTTAATTTGAATACAGAAGCATCATGCTTACTTATACTAGCCAATTATTAAGTACTTGTTGAAATCATTCCACAAATGTGACTATTTGAATATTGTAGAAATATGTGTATAACTGTAATGTAAAAATATTATTAGAACTCTCTGCAACAAAATTTGTTTCCAATAATCAGGTGGCAAGTATCTTTATACCCCCAAAAAGAGTTAAACTGGCTAATGCATGAAGAAAATAAAGGGTTTATTCATAGATAAATCCTAGTCTCTGATAGAGCCATGAAAAGATACGAGGTCTTTTCATTTTACACAGAGCCCTCTATATGCATGCAGACTGCTGCAATCATTCATTAAGTAGATTCAGTCTCTCATTTTCCTTAAATCATCACTGATTTGAGCTTACTGTTTTCTCAATTTAGCCCTAAGAAAATTATGGCCAGTTATTCATTCTCTAATGAACCTAAAAGTGAACTATATTTCGTTGCTTGTAGGATGGTATGGGAAATCTGAGAGTCACCAAGAAGGGAATCCGACTTGAAGGTATATCTGAGTTTCTACTTCCATTGTATGTGAAAGAAATTCATTCCCGAAAGGTATGTGACATTGGCTTTGGCTTAATGTAAAAGATAATTTAGAGGTTATGTTTTAGCTTGAAATAGGAGGCCAGAACCCCCTTATCTCTTCAGTATGTATTTAGTGTCCTGAAGTTAAAGATTTATTTGAAGAAATGAAAACAAGGAAACAATTGAAAAACCAGTGGAGAAGGTTAGTTTGAAACAGACAAATTAGAGAACCATTTTTGAATTAAACTGCAGTGTTGCTTTTGTTAGTCTATAAATTTGCCTCTATTTTCAATAGAAGTTAAAAATACAACATCATGGTAATTTCAAAAGGGGCACTTGTTACATCATGGGTAATTTTTGCAGGAAACACTGACTTGAATAAATGACTTTATTTCAATGTATTATAGATCTTTTCAGCTCAAATGAACATGCATTTTCTAAAAAAAAAGATGAGGAAAAGTTTTACTATAGAAATTAAAGTTATTTCTGGATGAACAGTATTTAAAACAAACACGAATATTTATCCTTTCAAATGTGCGGGTGTGTGTATGTGTGCCTTACGAGTATTTTATCACTTACCAGCATGCTAAAAATCAAGATTATAGTTTAGCCGTTATACATTTTGGCTTTTGTGTGTTACTTTTCAGAAAGTATTATTGGATACCAAAAAATATAACTAGAAACTATTAGGCATATATGTGTAAGTGTGAAAATCCAGTAAGACAGGAAAAAACGGAAAGCTTGTTATTATATAAAATGTGGAAAGATTATTAACCTTACTTCATAAATATGAAAGTCTATTTTAGACTAGAATCATCTTTAAATATTACCAATGTAATATAATAGCAAAGGGTTTTCATAGTAAGCCATAATTTGGTCATTTCCTTCAAAGTTATTTTTTTCCTTTAAATCTCATAGTGAAAACAGAACAGAGGATTATTTTTCATAAAACTTCCAATTAGGTGAATTATATTAACTTTAAGTTTTATTTTATTATTATATACAAACCTTCAGAGCTTCACACATGCACCGTATTGACTGCTATTCTTGGTACTAGAAATTTATCACTGAGATCACCTTACCTGCTGGATTTGGGGCAGGTAAATAATACCATAGACAAATGTATGAACACCTGACCTTATTATAAAAACTGCTTAAATTTAAAAGATACAAGTTGTGTCTTTGTTTTCTTATTTTTTTTTATGAACTCTGAAAAAAATAGTGGGCACACCCAAGTTAGCACCTTCCCTCCTACTGGAAGTCACCACCACTCACAGTTATTTACTGTTTTTTTTCTTGTGTTCGGTACTATTCAACAACTTAGTATTTGAAGAAATGAAAGCTTATCCATGGAAACCAAGGAATTACTGAACACAGAAAGGTGAGAATAATCATAGGCAGGAACTTCTTTGAAAATGATCCCATTGATAAGTCCAGGGACAGCAAAGATTGATCCTTGAAGCCATTTAGATCAATTCAGAGTGGCTGCCCTGGAATCCAACTTAACAGAAGGATCGTTAAGCCCTTTGCCAACAGGCAGGTCATAGTATTTATCTTCCCAGTTGAAACATTTTTGAGAGTATAACAACAGCTGTGCACCAGGATTCTCCTGGGAAACTCTATCTGTGTTTACTCCCTCAGTGGACCAAATAAGAAAGGGTCCACTGATGTGATAGCTTCAAAATGGGAGGTGATGGCAGTCAGGCTTCCTGACCTTTATCCCTGGGGAAGTTTGCAACCTCAAGTTCATAAGCCTTTCCAAATCTCACTGTGCTGATTGAAACCTCTGTGCTCCCTTTCACATCCCAGACATGTTGTTTGTCCTCCTGTCTCCCCTCTTCTCCATCTTCCAGTGAAGGCAAAAGCCAGCACAGCACACACAGGTAGGAGCTTGGGCCGTCAACAGACAGGAGGCCTGATGTTGGCAGAAAAAATAGAGACTCATTTCCTCTTTGAACATTTCTCTACACGTGCACCATAAAAATAAATATTTAAAATGAAGAGAAAATATATATCTTTCATCAGCAGTTCCCACGTTAGGATTCTCTTGCCCATGAACGTAGGCAGTGCTTTGTTCTCTGCCATAAAGCCCACTTACTGTTTTAAAAAGCCAGCCAGTTTCTCTGAGCCTGAGTTTTCTCATTAATACAGTGAGTTTCATAGCAATGTATCAAAATACTTCTTCGGTTAAGAAAGAATGCACAAATTCCAGTAATACTAGTAAGAATGAGATCTTTATAAACCCTATTATACATTTCAGGATTTGCACACACTTTTGTGTATTTGAATGTTTTTCTGATAATATATCAAAGTCCCTGTAGGTATAAGTTAAGGAAATCTATTAAATTCAAAAGGTACTTATAAGGATTCAATTAATATGAGAAAAATACACTATACTCTATGTATCAATTTTACTTGTATGAATTTTTTCCCTGCAGTTTTTATTTGCACCTGTTTGTGTGTGTATTTTCCTGCATTAATGGCAGTGGGTCCCTTTCTTTATAGTTGATTAGTATGCCACTCTGAAATAAAGAATTTTCTTATTTAAAGTAACTTCCTACGTATGGAGGTGTTTAATCACATACTATTACACAGATTTCTATCAGTCAAAAAAACTCAGTTGCCCACAGACACACACATCTAGTCTCCTAAAATAGTAAACCATGGGCTGTTTATACTCTAAGTTAATTTGTCTCCTTCTCTCACCAGTATAGATATTTGAAGTTTACTGTTATAAATCACAGTTTACTCTCTTCTTCATGCTTTTAAAAAATCAGCCTTTTTTGAGTGGTTCATCATTATCAGTACACAGAAAAACACATTACATTCTGTGTTTGAGATATATTAGAATTCACTGCATATTTCAGAATTAGCAACATTATTTTCAGGGAGTAAGTACTTACCTAACATTTGTGAAGTTACATATGTAGTTTTCCAGATAGGCAAAGTACAAAGGATATGGGTTTTGAGGTTACCTTACCATAAATGATAACAATGATAGTACGATTTTGAGTCAAACTTCAATGCACGTGATTTAACATTAGGTCAGAATCTTTTAACTTTCAGGAAATTAGGGCAAATAATCACCAGGTTCTTTCAAAAAAAAAAATGTAAGTAGAGCATATTTCCCAAGGTTTTATAAGTCCAGAGAACTAAGGTGATTAAATTACCTGCATTTCAGGGATGATTGCCCGCAAATTTTGCATCATTCAATTCTCTAGAACTTTTTGTGTTACCGTGCCTCATCTAATAGTCACTGAACAGTTATCTTGTTAATTTTTTTTTTCCTGTTCAAGGATCCTTAATTAAGCAGTACCTTACCATTGACCCCTATCCCAGCATCCTTCATGATGGACTGATAACTGTGCTGGGGAAACTGCTACCAGATAATTCCAATTCCAGTAATTCTACAGCAGAGCAAAGCTAAAATTTGAGCCCTTGGGACCTCTGTTTTAGACGGGCTGGGAGTAAGGCTATGCTCTCCCCTTCATGTACAGTCTTTTCACTTGGCTTCAAAACCTTGATGCTCAGTTCTTGGTGACAGTTTTTGGCCTTGTGTGTTCAGTCATTCTTTATAGAGTTCAGACAGAAAGCAATGGGGCCAGGCAAATACAGAAAACCTCTTTCCTGTTTACACAACATGGTGATCTCCTGACCCTGTATCTTTCGGGTATCTTGGTAAACCTCCTCTCTACAAACAAATTCATACAAATAGAAATCTTCAGACTTCTGTAACCATTTTATTATTATCATTTTTATCATTATCATTTTACATGTAAGTGTATGAGTGTTTATTATTTTACTATAACATCTTCAAGTTAAAAACACATATCATTCCGAAATCTTTACACTCAGAAAAAAAGCTATTAACATATGATAAACATTACCAAATTATATAAATACACATCTGCACCAATAAAAGGATAAATATAGAGGCATGAACATGCTATTTATAATTAATATATACATGCTTTAATAGAAGAAAAATATGAAATAAATGGGAAAGAATTGCTAAGCTTAAATATATCTTCACAAGAGTATCTTTAAAAAATTGTCTTTATGGTTAAGAATAAAAGACTATGAATATCATTAAGAAGCTGAATGCATTAGCTCCACGTTTTAATCTCAGACAGTGTTCATTAACTCCCTGCCGTGCAATCTGAGGTGATTAGCTCCTCTCCAATTTGTCCTTACCCCTCTTCATTTTCTTTTTTTTTTTTTGATAATTATATTATTTTAACTTTGTCACAGTTCATAATATTTACATTCTGTTCTGCAACTTTAATTGTGTTGGCACATTGGTCTTAATTCTACAGATAGATGGCTGCAGTATTAACCACCAACTCCTTTTGTTACGGCGTCTTCATGACTGAGTTCATTATTCTAATCATTCCCTCCTTACTTATATTTCATTGCTAATGAGTTTTGTTTGTTAATCTTTGAAATATTTCATGCTGAAGGTGCCTGACTATTGTCTTTATCTCTTCTGGGAATATTATTAATGGTTCATCCCTTCTTCTCCTGTTAACTAATTGCTCTATCAAATTCCACCACTGAGTATTGCCAGAAAAAGTCTGAAGGCAGCCTAGTGTGGATGTTTCTCCTGCTGATGCCATGAATGTTCTGCCTGAATACATTCTGCCAATACATTTTTGCCATTTTATTTGAGGGAAATGTTGTCTGTCATATCACTCAGTATATTTCACGTTTATTTGTTCAGGTCTTCACTGCAGAGAAAGCAACCATTCTTATGTTGGATCATCTTTGTCGTCCACAGCTATCACCGTTTCTCGAATTACTTTTAAACTCTTTATTTTTCCTCTGCATGCAAGTAACTGTCATCATCTACAGTTGATTTTCCTCCATATGAATTTTGCCCTTGCTCTCTCGAATTCTTTTCTTTTATGTATAAGGGAGGAGGTTGTTCTGATTCTCAGACTTTTCCATAGATCCATAGTCTCCTTGTAAATCATATTAGGTTATTTTTATTGTCCTTGAGCTATGGTTTTACTAAAATTAAACATTTATAA